GGTGGACTACACGATCACGATGCCGACGACGGACATGGCCGACGACCTCGCCACGTCCATGGCGTCGCTGACCACGAGCGACGTCGACGCGTCCATGGCCGTCGCGGCGTCGGACGCCGGGGTGTACTCGACCTTCGCGGCCGTCGGGTGCTCGGACCTCTCCGAGCCCGAGTCGGCCGTCGAGGACGAGTCCGACCTCGACGCGGCCGCCGCGCTCAAGGCCGGGGGCCTCGTCGCCGCCCTCGCCGCCGCCGCCGCGCTGCTCGCGTGAGCGCGCGCCCCCTTCCTCGCGATTGCGCGCGAATTCGAACCCCTCCCCCGCCCGCCGCGCGAAACCCCCCCCCGCCGGCTCGCCCGAGTCGGATCGCGCGGGTTAAGGCACGGCGCGGTAGTGGCGCTTGCCCTTGAGGCGGAACCAGCCGACGGCGCCGGCCGACGCGCAGAGCCCGAGGCCGAGGAGGAGCTGGAAGCGGCGGTTCGGGTTCGCGGTCCACGCGGGCATGTCGAGGAGCGTGAGGCTCCCTGCGCCGCGGCTGCGCGACGGCGTGTCGTCCGCGGCGACGGTGCCCTTGCAGGTGCCCCGGTAGCAGGTCCAGCCGTCGTCGGACCGCGCGTCGCACGACGGCCCCGGCTCCGTGAAGTTGACGTTGAGCTGCACGGCCCAGCCCGTCGGGTCGAAAACGAAGTGCACGTTCTCCCCCTGGCAAACGTAGGGCTGGGACGGGTTCGCCCGGAGCCAGGCGTGGACGAAGTCGTAGTCGTGCGTCGCGTCGACGGCGTAGTGGTTGTCGGCCCAGGCGTCCATGTTGCAGTTCGGGTCGCCGCCGACGACGGCGCCGTGCACGGACAGCAGCATGCGCTCGAAGTCGGCGACCTTGAAGGCCCCCCGCGTCGCGTTCGCGCCGCGCTGGCCTGTGCCGGAGACAGCCAGTGGAATGGACCGGTCCGGCGAAAACGTCACGCCTCTCGATCTCGGTCGAATCGACGTCGTTTCGGCTGATTTTTGGACGGATCGTGTGCTCTCGGCGAGTGCTTTCCAGACAATGAAACGGCGCGCATATGAGGTCGCGTCGAACACGTTCGTGTCCCGCCCGGGCGCCGGCGGAAGCAGACGTCGGCTTCCGCGCCGTACCACCGGAAGCACTTCGTGACGACCTCGGGGGCCGTGTGGTGGCTGTGGTAGGAGAGCGTCGCGTTCATGGCGTCGTACCAGGCGTGCACGGCGTCGAGGTCGCTCGCCGCGCGGCTCACGTACGCGACGGTGTGGCTCGCGTTTTTTTGGAAGGCCTCCTTGCAGCGCACGGCCTGGCGCGGCGGCAGGCGGTTCTCGAGGACCGTCAAATTCGCGGCGACGGCGTGGAGCTTCGGGGAAGTGTCCGTGAGCATGTCGATGACCATCTGGGACGCGGGCACCCGCACGAGCGCGCCGTACCTGTGTGGAAATCAACCACTGAACTGAAGTTCTCTAGCTCGGGAAAATCGAAGTCGTTTCGGCTAATTTTTGGACGGATCGATTGCTCTCGTCGAGTTCTCGAAGCAGAGCCGAAGAGTCCGGCGCAATTCGTTCAATTACGCGCACATTGAAGTCGGGTTGAAGATTTCCACGCCGGTCCGTACCAGGTCCGGCCCGCGCTGTCGTCGAAGGCGTAGGGCAGGTAGTCGTGGGCCGCGCGCTCGAGCTTGTGGAGCACGAGGTCGAAGGACGAGCTCTCGAGGCAGAGGCCCGTCGCGTAGTCGTAGAAGGCGTCGTAGCCCTTGGCGCCCTCCAGTTTTTCCGCGAAATGGTCCTCGACTTTCTTCACGGGCAGGCCCCCCGCGGTCGACTTCTCCGTGTCGACGAGGTGCAGCCCGAAGCCGCTCGCGTCCAGTGCCGTGCGGCCCTCGTAGACCTCGAAGGCCTCGCCGTGCCAGGAGCAGTTGCAGACGTTGCCGGGGCACTCGTTCGTCTCCTTGCTCGCGGGGAAAAAGTCGACGAGGAAGCGCTCGCCCTTGAGCGGCTCCGACGACGCGTAGGTCGACTTGCTGATGCCGTCCCCGGGGCCCTGGCCCGCGGCCAGCCCGCACCCGACGGCCAGGGCCAGGGCGGCGGCGCCCATCGTCCCGACCGCGTGTGCCAATATCGAGGCTGCCCGCGTGGATGTAGAGGTCGATGCTCCCGTCGATGCACCACTCATCTCGGTCTGAGGGATGGAATAATGGAACGGCGGGGCAGCACCTGACCATGGACGACGCGGCCGCGCCCGACGACGACGACGACGACGCGTCGGCGCGGAGCTACTGGACGGACGCGCGCGGTCCCGACGTGGAGAGCCTGCGCGCGCGCCTGGACCGGGCCCGCGCGGCCGTCGCCGCGGCGGCCCGGCCGCGGCCGCCGCCGCGCGCCGCCGGGTCCGCGTCGCGCGACGCCTTCCTGCGCCTCGCCGACGGCGCGGACCGCGTCGCCGGCGGCGCCGTCCTCGCCTGGGTCGAGGCCGGCGCCTACGCCGCCGTCGCGCGCGGGGACCTCGAGGCCTGCTGGGCCGCCGCCGACGCGGGCCGCCGGGGCAGCCTCGACGCGGCCGAGTTCGACGCCTTCGTCGCCGCCGTCGCCGCCGCCGACGACGCGCGGCGCGCGGGCGCGTCCGACGACTCGGAGGGCGAGGCCGACGCCGCGGAAGTCGACGCGTGGCTCGCGAACGACCGCGGGTCGTCGGCGTCGTCGGTCGAGGACTTCGCCGACGGCTCGTCGTCGTCGGGCGAGGACGACGCGGCCGAGGACGAGGACGACGCGTCCGACGCTCCGGCCGTCGAGGTCGCGCCCGTCGAGGCCGCGCCGGCGGCCGACGACGTCTCGGAGCCGGCCGAGGACGAGGACGACGCGTCGGACGCTCCGGCCGTCGAGGTCGCGGAGCCGGCCGAGGTCGCGCCGGCGGCCGACGACGTCTCCGAGCCGGCCGAGGACGAGGACGACGCGTCCGACGCTCCGGCCGTCGAGGCCGCGCCGGCGGCCGACGACGTCTCGGAGCCGGCCGAGGACGAGGACGACACGTCGGACGCTCCGGCCGTCAAGGTCGCGCCCGTCGAGGTCGCGCCCGTCGAGGTCGCGCCGGCGGCCGTTGGCGTCTCGGAGCCGGCCGAGGACTACTTCTCCGAGCCGGCGGCCGTCGACGTCTCGGAGCCGGCGGCTGCTGATGAAGTCATTCCGCCGCCGGCCGAGGAAGCCGCGGCTCCGCCGCGGGATCCGCCGCCGGCCGAGGAAGCCGGGGCTCCGCCGCCGCCGCCGCCGCCGGCTCCGCCGTCGCGCGCGCGGCCGCCGTCGCCGCCGGCGGGGGCGGCGCCGCGGCGCGCGCCGCGGGCCGTCGAGGAGGTCGAGGACGGCGCCGACGTCGCCGCGTCCCTCGACGAGCTCGACGCGGAGATGCGCGCCATCGCGAGCCTCCGCGCGTCGCTCGCGCTGCGGAACGGCGAGGCCGCGCGGCCCGCCGCGGCGCCGCGCGGCCCGGGCGCGCGGCGCGCCGCGGACGCCGGCGCCGGCGGCCTCGGCGCCGCGGGCCGCCGCGCGGACGCGCACGCGCGCGCGCTCGCGAGCCACAAGGTCTCGCGGCGGCTCCGCGGCCACCGCGGCGTCGCGGACCACCTCGCGCGGTCGCAGACGTCGCGCGCGCGCCGCGCGGAGCAGTCGCGGACGCCCCGGGACCTGCGCCACGGCGCCTGGGCCGGCGCCGGCGGGCGGGACGCGCCGGCGGCCGCGGACGCCGCCGCCGCGCCGCCGGCGCCGGCGCCGCCGCGGTCGCGGCTCGCGATCCGCGTCCTGGAGGCGCGCGGCCTGCCCGACGTCGGCCACAGCGCGGGCGCGTCGCGGTTCCACGGCCGCGCGCGCGTGAGCGTCGCCGGCAAGGCCGAGTGGGCCGGCGGCGCGCACCGGTCCTGGCGCACGAAGGCGCGCTTCGACGACGCCGCGGCGCCCAAGTTCCCCGCGCACGAGGCTCTCGTCGACGCGCCCCGGGGCGCGGACGCGCGCTTCGCGACGCTCTCCTTCTTCGTCATGCGCCGGGACGACGTCGTCGCCTACGCCGTCGTCAACGTCGCCGACCTCGAGAAGCGGCCGTCGCCGACGTGGCTCCGGCTCTCGCGCGGCTCCGCGGCGGCGAGGCGGAGCCGCGCCGCGGGCGCGCTCAAGGTCGCGGTCCTCGCGAGCCCCGCCTGGGCCCTCGACGCCGCGCCCGCCGCGACGCGCGACTCCTCGACGCAGACGCGGCGCGAGCCGGACGACGACGCGGGGCCGAACCCGGAGACCGTCGACTTCCTCATGAAAGCGGACTACGGCGCGGCGCTCGACCTCCGCGCCAAGAGCCCCGGGGCCATCGTCCGCGACCTGCTCTCGCTCCGCCGGAGCCTCTCGGCGCCCGCGTCCCCGGAGGCCGCGCGGCCGCCGTGCCCCCGCACCTCGAGGCGCCGTCCCTCGCCGGCGACACGAGCGACAGCGACGACGGCGGCGACGACGAAGCGCCGCCGCCGGACG